ATAATTTGGAACATCCTATATATCGTCGTGTATCTAAATTTAAATATAAAGTATTTGTGAAAATCTGAATTATTTTTATTTTTCTTTTCATTATATAAAAATATATTTTTTTTTTTTAGAGTATGTAAAATATTTTTGAGATCAATACCTACATAATATATATATATATATATATATATATATATATATATATATATATATAATGTTACGAAAATTTTGTGTAAATCTGGGACACACTGTATATCTCGTATCTAATAAATCGTCTCAATGTGTATCGTATCTAATAAAAATGAAATAAAATAAAAAAGATAAACGACATTTCTTGTTCACAAAAAATATACTTTATACATCAATATTTTTCTACTTTATACATAACATTTTATGTGTATATATATATATATATATATATATATATATATATAATTTTTTGATACTAAAAATTGTTATAATACTAATTGGAGATATTCTGTATATTCTCGTATCTAATCGCAATGGTATAATACCGGTGCTACTATTCACTCGATAAGCAATACTTTTTACCTATTGATCGCTCGAACATGTAAAAAAAGAAAAGATAAGAAATATATATATATATATAAAAAAAAAAAAAAAAAAAAAAAAAGAAGAAAAAAAATAGAAATAAAATAGAATAAATTTTTTGTTTGTTTGTTTTTTTCTTTTTTTCTTATATAAAATTGTTTGAATAATGCATTCATTCCTCATAAATCGATTAACAATTAATAGAAAGTCATTGTATATATTTATGTACGTATGTATTATCTATAGATGTGTGTGTGTGTGTGTGTACATATACTATGGAAACCTTGGCATCTATTTGTATCATAGATACTCATTAATCGCATCGACGGAATTTATAATAGTGTTGACATCTTTCGATTGAATCTAAAATGACGAAATCGACTTAACAATACATACATATATACATATATATAAACATATATACATATACATAAACATATATACATATACATAAACATACATACATATACATACGTATACATAAACATATATACATATACATACATATACATAAACATTGTGATTAAAATGACTGGTAAATATAATGTAAACAAAATATATATGTGTATAATATACACTTGCAAAAATATTTAGAATGATTTTAATAAATAAACAACTTTTTTTTTGTACTTTAATTCCTTACGTAGATATTTATTAATTAAAAGCAAATACACACACACACACAAACATACACACACATATGCACACACACATATATATATATAAATAATTGGAATATTTATTTTTTAATATAAAGGAACAATTTGTTATCACTGTCGATGCAGATTATTGTTATTATTAAAAAGAAAAAAAAGGAAATAAAAATATCACGAAAACAAAAGAAAGTGAGTGAAATCATGAAAATGAAAAATATTTAAGATATTCTTTTTTAAAGAGAGAAAAAAAGTATTCGTTATTAATTAATAAGAAAGATTATTATGTGCAAAAAAAAGAAAAAAAAGAAAGAAAGGAAATAAAAATAAAAAAGAAAAGAATATAAACATTTAAGAATGTTCCCTCCTTTTTCTCTCTCGTAGAAAATGAATTCATCATAATTTTTGATAAGGATTGTTATTTATTGGGTTGGTGCATCCCTACACCGGGTGGTGGTAGGTTTTTGGCGGGAAAGAAAGTGGCTTTAAAGATCGAAGTCACTCGACCTTTTCGTATGTGATGTATACATATACGTTCGAGATACCTGGTTGGAATAATCGATCGAAATCGAGGTCACGTGCCAATGGGACGCCTCTTTGCCGTTACCTTGAAAATTGTGCAATAGTATTTGCAATCCTTTCTAGAGGCACGCTTTTATTCTCCTCGTGATACATATTGGAAAGGACGAATATAATCTTTAATATAGTTGATTTATTTTATCGATATAGTATTTTAATGTCATTGCGATAGATCGATTTAGAAAGCATTTATTAAAACCTTTTGAAAAAAAGAAACTCAGTATTATTATTATTATTATTATTATTATTATTATTATTATTATTATTATTATTATTATTATTATTATTATTATTGTTATTATTATTATTATTATTATTATTATTATTATTACTATTATTTAATGTGTTTAGAAAGATTATTATTTAGGTTAATAAGAAAAATAATTCCGAAATTTTTTATAAAAGAAAAAAAGATTCACGTTGAGTTAATAAATAATATATAGATATGATCTATATAAATGTTTTCATATATATTTTCAACATTTTTGTTGACAATAAAAATTTTTAATGTTTGTCATATATTTCTATAATGTAATATTTAAAATATTTAAATATAAATTATATATAAATATTTCAAGGGTATATCTTTTATTATATAATAAAATTTATTGTCTATTGCAATGATAATAATACACTACTATATATTTTTCAATATATATACTTATATATAATAAACATTAATAATATAAATATATATAATATAATAATAAATAATATAATAAACATATATATGTATATATTTATATTTACAATATATATAATATATATTGTAAATATTTTATATATATATATATATATATATAT